GTGTTACTGTTTACTCTTATAGATTTATTTGATGCTTGGGAGGAAAGATATTAGAAGGGAAGGGAAGAAGTCACTAAAGAGAATGAGAGTAGGCAGGTAGAATTCAAGGAAGGGGGAATAAGAAAATTGAAAAGAAATGAAAAGACAAAAGAAACAAAAACAAAACACAAACAAAAAAGTTAGAAAATAAAGAAAGAAAGAAAAGAAAAAAAAATTTTTTTACAAAAATAATAATAAAAATAATGAAAATTAAAATTAAATAATAATAATAATAAAATAAAATAATTAAGAAAAATTAAAAACATTAAAAAAAGTTAAAGAACAACAAAAAAATTGAAAATGAAAGAAAAAAATGATAATAATAATAATAATAATAATAATAATTGCAGTCATAGAGTTCGATTAATTTCTCTTCCAGTAGGTGGAGCTGTGCCCACTGGGTCAAGCTTCTCCTCTCAATAGGTGGGAACCAATCACTGTGCAGCAGCTCTTCCTCACAGACTGGGGGGGTCTCCAATCCTGAGTGCCTAGGGCCTTCTCTTGTGTTTCCTCAAGCCAGGCCGCGCTCACCTGTGACGCTCACCACAATACTGGCTACACGCCAGGTCTGCTGCTCCTGGGAGCCCTGTCGCGCTGGTTTCAATGCAGTTATCTCCTCCGCCCGTGACGTCAGTTTTCTGCCAAGGTGGTATCCCATGCAAATGGTGACCATTTGTTCCCTTTACCGGGTGACCAATGCAACGGGTGGGTCCTGACTGTCTCTCCCAATCCCCGTTTCAATCCTGTGGCCACTGCCTATGAAGGCTCGGTTGGGTTTTACCTCTGAAAGTTCATAAGGGCCAACCAGTTATTTCAGCGGGATTGTTAGTGCTGAGTCACAAGAAGCAGGCGAACCAGAGCTTGAATGCAGCCGATCCAGGCTCGGTGTGTGTGTTCTGAGGGGCCCAGACTGTACACCCCAGATCCATGTCAGCTCAGCATTGCCTAGTGATCCTGAGCAATCAGCATTTATACAATTTACAGCTCCCGATGCCCGCACAGTTGAAGAGGTCAGAGACTTGATCTCTCCCTGCCCGCTGCCATGTTAGACCTTCTCAGTGATATTCATGTTGCCCTTACAGCTTCCTGGCATAAGCAAGTTCTTGGGATTATACAAACTGCTGCTTCTGTTTCCAGTCCAGATTTCTAGAAATTAAACCCTGCCGCCATCGCCTCTTCCCTGGGGCAACGCTGAGGGGCGCTGCGCTTGTCTGTGACCGTAGCTGCGCTGCCGCCCGGTGCCCAGCCCCCGGGGCCTAAGCAGCTGCCAGCACGGCTCTCAGGCCCCCTCCTCTGGAGCACTGGTCCCCCAGCAGGGGGGTGCAGAACGACCCCAGAGCAGGCTCTGCCCGAAGGTGCAGCGGCGAACAGGCGACCCAGGCGCTCAAGGCTGCAGTCCAGCCTTCGGAGGACAGGGCTCGGCACGCAGCCCAGCTCCAACCTCTAGGTGTGGCTGCCGGACAATGTAGACATAACCATCAAGACAGCAAGTAGAGAGCAAATGGCGGCTCCCGCGGAGTGGATTTTCGGCACAGAAACCGCAGCTCAGCCAACAATCCCAATCCACAAACTCTCCCTGTATAAAAATATTCAAAAAAAAAAAAAAAAGGTGGGGCGCACTGAGCTTTCTTTGCCTCAGGTACTTACAATCCACTGCTGATTACACATTCAGCTTCTCTGCCCGGAGAAAGAGGAAAGCGAAAGAGGAAGCAGATGGGAGCAAAGCGCCCGCGGCTCTGGGCGGCAAAGCGTCCGGGAGCCAAGCGTCTGTTTTTCGATCTCTTTGTTCTTCCTGCTGCTTGGCAAAGTGGTCCGCTACAGATTAACGGTGAAAGGAGCTCTTACACGCTGCACGAAATCTCGATTAAAGCCGCTGCTCTGAGCACCACGCTCAGCACTTCAGCAACCCCCGTGCGCAGCGGCCATCTTTTTCCTGGACACAATATCTTTATTTTTATTTATTTATTTTTGCGTGGTGCTGAGGATCGAACCCAGGGCCTCACGTGTGCAAGGCAAGTGCTCTACCACTGAGCTACAACCCCAGCCCCAATATATAGTTTCTTATCTAACACATTGGCAAAATTTTTGATAATAGATTCTATTGGTCAAGCTCTGAAGAAAGAGGAAATCTCATACATAGTTAGTGGCATTACAAAATAGCATAATACCTATACAGGGAAATTTTCTAATTTCTAGAAAATCAGATATTTTCTTTGACCTTGCAAAACTACTTCCAGGAGTCTATGCCAAAGATACAGTAGCATGTGAAAAAAATAAATATACTCGTCTTTACTGGAACACCATGGTATAATAGCAACCCAACTATCTATCAAAAAGAGCACTTCTATGGACTGAATGTTTGTGTCCCCACCAAAATACTAATGCTGTAATCGCCAGTGTGATGGTATTTGGAGGCATGCGCTTTGGAAGGTAATTAGGTTTAGATGTAGAAAAGAAGGTGAAGCTTTCATGATAGAATCAGTGCATTTATTATTTGGGGGGAACTGGGTGATTGAACCCAGGAGCCCTTTACCACTGAGCTACATCCCCAACCCTTTATCTATGTATCTATCTATCTATCTATCTATCTTTCAAGAGAGGTCTCACTTAAGTGCCGAGGTTGGCCTCGAACATTCAATCCTCTTGCCTTAGCCTCCATAGTAGCTGGGATTACAGGTGTATGCCACTGTGCCCAGCGGGGTCAATCCCTTTATGAAGAGATAAAGCACCTAGAGCTAGCTTTCTTTCTATATGAGAATACGGGAAAAAGGCAGTTGTCTGTGAACGGAGAGAAGGACCCTCACCAAGAATCTAACCATGTTGGCATTCTGACCTGGGAGTTATATCTCAGTGGTGAAGTGCTTTTGGGTTCTAGCCCCAGCACAAAAACAAACAAAGAAACACAAAAGCAACTTCTGGACTAGGGGTGTACTCAGTCTATGGTATTCTGTCATAGCAGTCCATACTGACCAAAACAAGGACCATTTTAGAAAACACTTCATATTACTATGACCTCCAAAAAATACTATTGAGTTATCTGGATGTGGTGGCCCATGCCTGTAATCCTATTGACTCAGGAGACTAAGGAAGGAAGATGGAAAAGACCAAGGCCAGCTTGAACCTAGACCCTGTTTCAAAATAAAAAATGAAAAGGACTGGGATGTAGCTGACTGGTAAAGTGCTCCTGGGTTATAAAATAAAATACTGTTATATGAGAAAAGAAAGGTGCTGGTCTAGGTATACTATATGCTACCTTTTACCTTTTGTTAATACTTATTACAAAATATACATTTTTAAAATGAAAGGATATACCTATAATAAATAAAATGGTTACCTACAGGGAGAGAGAGAATAATGTAGAAAAGACGTGGATAGAGGTTAAATTTCTCAGCATATATGTCAGTCTTGATTTTGGAACCATGTAAATAACTACAATAATTACAAAATTTTACATGCAAAATAAAAATTTTAAAAAGCAAATTCTAGCTGGGCATAGTGATCCATGCCTGCAATCCCAGTGACTTGGAGGCAGAGGCAGAAGGATTACAAATTTGAAGCCAGCCTCAAGAATTTAGGAAGACCCTGTCTCAAAAAAAAAAAAAAAAAAAAAGGACTGGGGATGCATCTCAGTGGTAAAGTGCCTTTGGGTTCTGGCCCCAGCGCAAAAATAAAGAAACACAAAAGCAACTTCTGGACTAGGGGTGTAGCTTAGTGGTAGAGCAAGTACCCAGCATGTACTTGCTCCTGGGTTCAGTCCCCAGTGCCAAAAAAAAGCAACCTCTAAAACTCAAAAGTAAGCAGGCACTTGCCTGTAATCCCTATGACTCACAAGCAGGAGGATTACAAATACAAGGCCAGCCTCAGCAAATTAGTAAGGCCCTAAGCAGACCCTGTCTCAAAAATAAAAAATAAAAGGGACTGGGAATACAGCTCAGTGGTGCACCCCTGGGGGTTCAATCCCCAGTTTTAAAAAAAAAATTGAAAGTAAAATCTATTCTTGAGTTCGTTGAGTTGGTGGCATAACCTTAAAGAAAGGAACTTCACATAGTTTTTAAACCTTGCAATTTTGGTCATGCATTCTTATTGGTATATATCCTACAGAGAAAATGCCACCCCTAAAATCTAAAACTGGTTCTAATAATCTATTGTTGGTGGTAGCATAAATATTCTGAGATTGTAAGTGTATTAAGTTCTAAGCAATGTGGTAATTATGCTGACATCATTAAAAAGCAGGACTTTGGGGCTGGGGATGTGGCTCAAGCGATAGCGCACTCGCCTGGCATGCATGCGGCCCGGGTTCGATCCTCAGCACCACATACAAACAAAGATGTTGTGTCCACCGAAAACTAAAAATATTTTTTAAAAAAATTCTCTCTCACTCTCTCTTAAAAAAAAAAAAAAGCAGGACTTTGGCAAGGGAGAAACGAGATGCAGGTAAGTTTAAGTAAAAATCCTATATTCCTGCAACTGAACGGAAAATATTAGTACGGGCTAATATGTATTTCCTAGCTTGTCTGCTGAAAAGCACTAGGAGCAATACAAGTAGGATCAGTAAGCACCTCTAATACCAGATAATTTTCTAAGTTTTCTACAATAAAAATTTCATAATATGTTGGTATTGTTGTAATTATTATTATCATTGGTGCTAGGAATTGAATCCAAGGGTTCTTAACCACATCCCCAGCCTTTTTTTAATGTTTTATTTTGAGACAGGGTCTCTCTAAGTCCTTAGGGCCTCACTAAGTTGCTGAGGTTGATCTCACACTTGAAATTCTCCTACCCCAGCCTCTGGAATTATAGGTATATGCTGTCGCACCTTGCCTATAATATGTTCTTTTTGAGTTTCTGGACAATCAAGTATGTAGGCTTTAAACTTTTCCACTTATCGGGTCTTAAATATCTGAGCTCACTAAAAACCTGACTACCTAGGAAATGAAGTATTAGTATATATAAATACTCACTAATTTTTCCTTCTCCTCTTGAGCTTTTTCTTTCGTCTCAGCCAGTTGTTGTTTTAGCTTTTCAATCTGAGAAAGATGAAAATACAAAGTCAGGAAGATGTTAAAATTGTTCTGTAGTCTACTTTCACTCACATGTTTTAGTATTTTACATAATATTAAGACCAGTGGGGTAGGAGAGGTAGTAAAACAGGAAGAGGAGAAGGGGACAGGAGTTTTCCCATATCCTTAATCTGTTATTGGCAATCTCCAAAACCAAGCTATCATCCGAGAATTACCTAGGTGATTTTTTTTTTTAAATGTGTGGTTTAAAAACACACCATTAAATTTACAGTCTTCACCATTTTCAGTGCACAGTTCAGTAGTTTTAAATACATTTACATTGTTGGACAAAATATCTCAAACTTTTCAATCTTGCAAAATTAAAACTCTATACCCATTAAGCACTAATGCTCCTTCCCTTTCCCCACAGCCCTTGGCAACCACCTTATACTTCGTTTTTACAATTAAAAAAATTTTTTTTTAGTTGTTGATGGACATTTATTTTATTTATTTATATCTAGTACTGAGAATTGAACCCAGTGCTTCACACATGCTAGGCAAGTGCTCTACCACTGAGCTATAATCCCAATCCCTCATTTTTTGATTGCTTTATATACTTCAAATGAGAGGAACCAAATAGTATTTGACCTCTTGTGATTGGCTTATTTGATTCAGCATAATGTCCTTGAGGTTCACCATGTTGAAGCATATGACAGGATTTCCTTTTTCAGACTGCATAATATTCCATGGTATGTGTACACCTCTCTTTTTCTTTCTTTCTTCTTATGGTACTAAAGATTGAGCCCAGGGTACTCTACTGTTAAGCTATATCCCCAGCCCTTTTAAAATTTTATTTTGAGACAGGGTCTCATTAAATTGCCCAGGCTGTCCTCAATTGCAATCCTCCTGCCTCAGCCTCTCAAGTAGCTGGGATTACAGGCATGTGCTACCATGTCTGACCTATATCAGTATTTTTGAAGAACACTGCACAAGGTTGGGCTTTTCTGATGTTTCCTTATGGCTACTATGTATTTAGGGCATGCATATTCTACCTAAGTGATAAAATATCCTTTTTAGTACGTCCCATCCTGAGGTGAATGACGTTAATAAAATCAATTGAATAAGATTATGTCTGCCAGTTTTCTCCATTTAAAAATTATGGTTTTCCTTTTATAATTATTAAGAAATTTGTGGAAACATATTTTGAGACTATGCAAATAGTCTCCTCCTCATTAAACTTTCACCTACTAGTTCTAGCATCCATAGATCATTCTAGTTTTTTAAATTGGATATTAAATGCTAGCCACCATTCTAAGTTCTTTTACCAGATTATTTTAATTAATCCTCCCAATAACCCTACTGTATTAGTTTAGCAGGTACCATACAAAATATCACAAAATAGGTGATTTAAACAACATGAATTTATTTTTCAAAGTTCTGGAGGTTGGAGGTCCAAGATGAAAGTGTTGGCAGGTTGGTTTTCCCATGGCTGCTCTCCTTGGCTTACCTATGGCTGCCCTCTCTGTGTTGTCCTAACACAGCCTTTATTCTGAGCACTCACATAACTGGTGTATCTTTCTGTGTTCAGTTGCCTCTTAGAAGGATTGAATTAGGGCCAACCTGTTTAGAAATGTATTAATTGGCATTCTATGTAAGAAAAAATTTCCCCTCTCCTTTATTTACTTGGTTGTTTGGTGCTTTTTGTTTTTGTTATGCAGTTCTGTGGAATCAAGGCTTTGAACATGCTAGCAAGTATTCTACTATTAAGCTATATTCCCACCCCATCATTATTTATTTATTTAAAATTTCATTTTTGGTGGTGCTAAAGATCTAACCCAGAGCCTCACCGATGCTAAGTAAGCACTCTACCACTGAGCTACATCCCTAGGCCCCTCCCTTATTTATTAATGTATGTATTGGTTAATAGTGTAGACTTAGGATTCTTTTTTTATTCAATAAGTTACAATCTATTATTGTCAATGTTTGTTTGGGTTGTCTCAGATTTAGCCAATTGTAGTCTCTTCAAGCTAGCCTTTGTGTACTTTAACATTTACTTACTTTCTGGCACAATAAGATATTCCAGGGTTATCTTTTACATCCTACCCAAATCCTGGAATCAATAGTTTTTTCTAATTAGTTCCAAGTATTTCTCTAGGGAATGCTGGTCCATTTCAGTGGGGAACCTAAGTAGCTTTTTAAACTAAAGATTCATTGACATGGTTATAGAATCAGAGGATTTAGAAGTAATATATTATAAAATATTATCTTAGAGCAGCTTAAGAAAAATCTAGAAATTTAAAAAATATTTTGGAACAGTCCCAAGTCACATAGAACAGGTGTGACACTTAATAAGATTACTTTACGATTGATTCAACAAATCCTCAAATACAAAAACCCAGTCTTTGAGAAAATCTCCTAGTTTTGTTCAAGACAAAATTGTTTTCAAAACACATTTCATAAGAAAAATTTCATTTCTAATATTTCTATAATTAATGTGAAGTAATACTACAAAGAGTTTCAGAAAATAACACATTTATAGAATACTGCGAAATAGATAATAATTAACTATGGAAGAAGCCAGATAGGCCTACAGCCCTAACTACTTGGGAGGCTGAGGCAGGAGGTTTACTTGAGCCAAGGAGTTCAAGGTCAGTGCCTGGGCAACATAGTGAGACCTCATCTTAAAAACAAAAAATGGAAACTATGGGAGAGCTAGTTAACTGATATTTATTTAATCTGTTTTTTTTTTCTTCTTCCCAATATACTTTCTTTGTTTTTATTATTGTTATTCTTGTTTGGGGGGATTGAACCCAGGGCCTGGGGCATGCTAAGCATGTGCTCTACCATTCAGTTAAATCCCCAGCCCCAGTTTCTTTGGTTTTAATGGGGACCCATGATTGTAAGAAACCGCATTTGCTACAGCAAGATGCTGGCCTCTGATATACAGAGGCAGATCTCAATCTGAAAATACAAGTAAGTGATACTGATAAATACAAACCAATACTAATTAACTAATGTAGGATGCAGAGCGTCTATTAATTAATTTCAAAAACTATTTGTATGGCTGATTAAAAACTTACTTTAGAATAATATTTTATAGGGGGATAATGTATATAACACCTACTATTCAAAAAGTAATTTTTAAAACAGAAGTTGTCTGAGAATGTAAAAAAATGCATAAAAAATTAGACTTTAATAAAATACATAAAATCCATATAAATGTTCAGTTGTTTGACTTTTCTAATGTACTTTCAATATCATCTTGAATTTAGTTATTATTGCTATTAACTTTTTAAAAACATCAGTACATTCATAAGAATTCCAAGTATTAGTATATTCATACAAGGCAAAAAAGAATGTACTGAATGGCTACTATGTGCTAGGCCCTGTTGCTTAGGTGATATAATCCTGAACAACAACAAGAGGCCCCAAGTTGTCTTCTTCTGTGAGGTTTCATTCTAATTAGGAAAAGGGACAATAGACAAATATGTAAGTGACATACATGCATTATTATTAGATGGAAAGTAATAAATGTCACAAAGAAAAAGAAGTGATAAGACTCTAGAGAATGCTGGAATAGGGTTGGTTTTAACATTTATACAGGGTGATAAGATGTCTTATCACTGAAAAGGTGGCATTTGAAAAACTATGGAATTATACGTGAATTTGTATGTCATCCTTATATAGCCAGCCTTGCTCTGCATCACTCCAGCATTAGTTCATATGTGTACTGAAGCAAAAACATAAACAATAAAAAACAGTGAAGGGGCTGAGGGTGTAGCTCACTTGTAGAGTACTTGTCTAGCATGTGTAAGGCCCTGGGTTCAGTTAATCCCCAGTGTGTGTGCACTCATGTACATGCAAAATGGATGAAGGAACATATAAAAGATGTCCAAGTTGAATAGTTATAAGGAAAACACAAATTACAACAACAATAATAGAATAATTTACACCCATAAGATTGGCAATAACTATTAAATACAATACCAAGTGTTGAGTCATATGTGGGTAATACTCTAATACATCATTTGTGACAATATAAATTGGTATAACACCTCTGGAGCTCAGATTTAATCCTTTGTGGAGGCTGGAGGTGTAGCTCAGTGGTAGAGCATTTACCTAACATGCACAAGGCCCTGGGTAAAATGATTTTTCATGTGTGGTACTGGGGGTTGAACCGAGAATTCTCCCTCTGAGCTATATTCCAATCCTTTTTTTTTTTTTTTTTTAGTACCAGGGATTGAATTCAGGAGGGCTTAACCACTGAGATACATCCCTAGCCCTTTTTATTTATTTACTTATTTTAAGATTTATTTTTTTAGTTTAGTTATAGTTGGACACAATACCTTTTATTTATTTATTTTTATGTGGCGCTGAGGATCAAACCCTCGCACATGCTAGTCAAGCGCTCAAACACTGAGCTGCAATCCCAGCCCTTATTTTTTATTTAGAGACACAGTCTCAGTAAATTGCTTAGGGCCTTGCTAAATTGATGAAGCTGGCCTTGAATTTGCAATTCTCCTGGTTTAGCTTCTTCAGACCCTGAGGTTACAGGGGTGTGCCACCACACCAGGCTTTTAGTTGTTGAATCTTTATTTTTATGTATTTGTATGTGGTGCTGAGAATCAACCCAGTGCCTCAGGTATGCTAGGCAAGGGTGTTACCATTGAGCCACAACCCCAGTCCCACCCATCAGGCTTTTTAAAAAAATGTTTGAGACCAAGTCTTGCTAAATTGCCTAAGTGGGCCTTAATCTTGTGAACCTCCTACCTTAAACCTAAAATTGTTGGGATTACAGGTGTTATGCCAGATTCGTGGGACCCCAGTAGACCTCCAGGAGCCGAATCCGATGCAAGCACACAAGAGACTTTATTGCAAGCTCGAGCCTGGACTCACAACCGTTCCCGACACAGCGGTCCCAGGGAGTGAGTCCTGGTCCTTTGTTCAGTGAGATTTTATAGGTTTTGGGGGGATACTCTATGCATCACAACATCACACAGCAAATCATTCCATACCGCAGGAAAATCAAACAACAACTCTCAACATTGATTAGCACATTCAATGGCGGGAACAAGTTGGTTAGGGGTGATTGGCTAGTACAAGAAGGGGGTTCCTTTGAACTGATTGGTTTAGGCCACGAGGGGTGTACGTGCTAAACTACATGGTTTCCCAACATGTTATCAACCACCATAAACTACTTGGGGGTCATCTGGCATCCCAGGTATTTTCCCTGTCTCATGCTGATTGGAGGTTGCTAGGGGGGTTGCCATGGGTCCTCACCTAGCCTGACTGAGTCAGGGACACCTGGCACCGCAGACCTCTCCTGTTATTTACAGACAAACAACTCAGCAGGGTGGGTATGTGCTTAGGAGTGCTCTGTGGGTTTTTCCAAGGACAAGGGTCACAACCCCTTCCTTAGGACAGGCTTGAGGTAGAAGCTGCTGTTATTTGTTTATTTTTTTTAAATGGAGTCACATTAGTTTCTCACAGGTATGTGCCATGGCATCTGGCTCACAAAATTAAAAAGCTCTTGTGAAATTGAAGCTGAGTTTACCCCATAATTTAAAATCTTACTTCCTCGGATCTAGTCTAAAGAATCCCCCACATGTGGTCTCAGGCAGACATATACAGGAATGTTCATTGTAACAGTGATGTTTATTATAACAGTGAAAAAAATGGGAGTTTAACTGACCAATGGGGGATAAACATAAATCTTGGTTTATTTAATAGAATATTATAAAGCAGTTAAAATGAATGAAAAAAATAGAATATACCTATTAATAAATTTTAAGAAAATAAACTGAATCGTGATTTTTGTGAATATATCACAATAACAATGTTGAGTAAAAAAAAAAAAAAAAAAAAAACAAGATGCTGAGTCAGGCTTGGTGGCATGCAACTATAGTCCTAGACACTAAGGTGGCTGAGGCAGGAGGAGCCTGGAGTTTACCACCAGCCTGGGCAACATAGCAAGAACTGTCTCAAAAAGTTGCAAAAGATCTGTATAATATGATACTATTTATATACATTTTAATGACTATGGAATGTCCTATTTATAGGTATGCATACACAAATAGAAAAATTACAAAAATATTATGTAAAGGAAGCTTACATCCTCAACACAGTGGAAATTTCCTTGGGTTTCCAAGCAGTTTATAGAGGCAGAAAGAAAATTTGTAGTTACACCTAAATTCCACCTTTAATACCTACTAGCTCTGTGACTTGGGCAACTTACCTGTCCTGAGAGCCAATTTCTTTGTCTATATAATGGACATAACAATATTTTGGCTACATGTGGTTATTAAAATAATTAAAGGAGATAATTAGTAGCCAGCATAGTGCCTGGCACAAAATAGTGGCTCCAAAATCTTAATTCTCTCCCTTTTTTTTTCAGATCTAAAATGATAGCTTTATTCTCAACACTTCAATAAAGTATAATAAGATAAAAGATTCAAGTGGCAGAGAGAGAGAGAGAGAAAGAGAGAGAGAGAGATTTGCTGGGTTTATAATCTATCATGGATTATCAGTGAATTGTTTTACAAATCAATAAAACTAAATATCAGCATCAAAACACAGAGATCATATTGGGTGTGGTGTTGTATGCCTGTAATCCCAATTACTTGGAAGGCAGGAGGATGGCAATCAAGGTCAGTCTGGGCAACTTAGTGAGACCCTCTCCCAAAATAAAATTTATGAAGGGTTGGGGATGTGGCCAAAAGTAAAATGCTCTTGGGTTCCATTCTCCAGTGCAAAATGAAGTGTTCATAATGCTCTCTAGTGGTTATCACTTTCTATTTGTTTGAGACAAGAAAACAAGGGACAAGAATTCAAAATAAATATCAATAACAGTAAAACCACTCTGAAATAGTTTTGTTTCAAAGAGAGTTAAGAGCTCACTGTAAAGAAGAAATACAATTGATCAAAAAATATATGAAAAAATGTTCAACATTTTTTCTAGCAATTAGAGAAATTCAAATCAAAACTACACTGAGATTCTATCTCATTCTAGTCAGAATGGCAATCATCAAGCATACAAGCAACAATAAGTGTTGGTGAGGATGTGGGGTAAAAGGTACACTCATACATTGCTGGTGGGACTGCAAATTGGTGAAACCACTGTGGAAAGCAGTATGAAGATTCCTAAGAAAACTTGGGATGGAACCACCATTTGACCCAGTCATCCCACTTTGGTTTATACCCAAAGGACTTAAATTCAGCATACTACAGTAATACAGCCACATCAATGTTTATAGCAGCTCAATTTACTATAGCTAAACTATGGAACCAACCAAGGTGCCCTTCATCAAATGAATGGATAAAGAAACTGTGGTATATATACACAATGGAATGAATATTAATCAGCCTTATTATGACATTTGCCAGTAAATGGATGGAACTGGAGAATATTATGCTAAGCAAAATAAGCCAATCCCAAAGAACCAAAGGCAGAATATTTTCTTGATATGTGGATGCTAATTCACAATAAGAAGTGGGGGAAGAATAGAGGTATTTTGGACTAGACAGAAGGGAGTGAAGGAAGGGGAGTGGGTATGGGGGTAGCAATGATAGTAGAATAAATTGGACATTACCCTATATGCATATGCGTACATGACCTGTGTAACTCTACATCATGTACAACCAGACAAATGAGAAGTTATACTCCATTTATATATGATGTATCAAAATGTATTCTACTGCGTTATATACCTAATTAGAACAAATTTAGAAATCTTAAAATATATTTTTGATGCTTAGATCATAAGAGCTCCTTTTCTCCAGAATGGAATTGAGATCCTAGTGAAATGGCTTCATGCAGAGTTCTACCGGCTTTCTCTCCTCCTTCTGCTGTCCTAAAACAGAGTGTTCTCCTTAGGGGAACCTGGCTTCATGGCACCATCTTTGAAGAAACCAAGCCCCCACTGGAAAGCTACCCAAGAGTTTGCTATAGCATCATAAATATTAGATGATTAGGAAATGTTTATATGTCTGTAAGAGGAGATGGGTTTCCACAAATAAAAATATAATTTTCCGAGTAAAAAATATATATATATATATTTTTTTTTAAAAGCTCACTGTAATGTTTTAACAATGTACAATTTCAAGATATTAAAATCCTTGAAACATATAATCACAGAGGTATTATATGAAGCTCAGGAGGCTTTCTATCTACCTACCATATTATCTTTTTCCTGATCCTGCTTCTTCAGGTAGCTTAATATGGACATGGTGTCTTTTTCCATTTTGTACTGCAGTTTCTTTAAGTCCTCATTACTTTTGGCCAGTCTCCGAGAAGTATCACGATACTCAATCCTAGAGAGTTCAGTGATTTCCAACCTAGCCTCCCAAAGAGAGGCATTGGCCTTGGCTTGTTCCACCACAATATCTTCTGGTCTTATCATCTTCCTGTGTAGGAAGAGAACATTAAAAGTATATAACTATTTCTCTACTATATTAGTATTCTCTTTGTTTGACACTGTCTGTATATATACAAGCAAATACTGTTGAATGAATGAATGAATGAATAATATATATTTAATTGGGCTGGGGCTGCAGCTCAGTGGCAGAGTGCTTGCCTAGAATGTGTGAGGCACTGGGTTTGATCCTTAGCACCACATTAAAAAAATAAATAAAATAAAGGCATTCTGTTCAGCTACAACTGCAAAAAAAATTTACACACACACACACACACACTTTCACTTGAGAATTAAGAGGTACCTCTTCCTAGAAGAATGTTTTGGAGCATAATTCTTAAAGACTAGAAGGAAAGTCAAATTCATTTCATAAAGCTTCTACATCTTTTCATTTTTCTTTTAATTTTCTCATATTTGAATTTTCTTCTATTCTTATTCACTTGGCTGTGAACTTTGGTTCTTACTACTTTGTTACTTTTCTTCCGAAGGCACATTTGTAGCGAAGAACCCAAAACAACACTCCACTAGTGGGGGGTGGGGTGTTGTTTTGGGTTTTTACTTTTGTTTTGGCTGGGACTTGAACAAAAGATCAAATCACTTGGGCAAGAATGTTAAATATTCTACAAATTGGTACCACAGTGCACCAGGGTTTAAAAATGCCTGAGATACAAACCACAATCATGTATATTCAAAGGTGAAGAGGATATTTTTTTAAAAATAGAGACTGAGATTATAGGCCTTCCCTGGATTTGATCCCCAGCTCTTCCAAGATTGAATGAATGAATGAATGGATGAATGAATTTAAAGATTAACACAATAAAAGGAGAGATTTTTAAAATATTTATTGTATGAGTATTAACAAAACACTGTCCCTTTTTACATGGTAGGCATATATAAATATATTGATAATATATAAAAAGCTTCACCTGTATTTAAATTCTAAACATTCTCACACACATGTGAGTGGACTTTTCTATACTGTCACCTCCATTATACATTCTTCAACTCTTGGTCCTCAGTACCTTTTCGCCTCTACCTTTTGTTCTCTTCAAATTAAGGCCAGTTCCATCTCCAACTCCCTACACCAGGCTATTACAGCTGTTGATCTCGCTTTTCAGCATTAGGGATAGACTGCCTTGCTACAATCATCTACTTGCTCCCAGAAGGTACCATAGTATTGGTGTAAGAAATTAGATACTTCTAAAGTAGATACCCCTAACACTAACTGAAGAAAGAAAGCAGGGTTTCTCAAACAATGGGCAGCGGAACATCCATGAAAAAAAAAAAAGGTCTGTTATTCTCAATGTTCCTAAATTTTTTGCATGTGTACTGCAGACATATGGCCAAAACCTGAAAACAAATGATAGTGAATACCAGATGTGTAGAGCCTTGGCACTTTTGAAAAGTGCTAAACTCTGAAATTTTGCTAAAAACAAAACACAAAAATACCCTGTAGAAGAACACTTACATTAATACAAAGGGGGAAAAAAGCTACAAATAATTGGGCTATCACAAAATGACAGTACTAGTTAACTATGTATAGATGATGGGATTATGGGTGATTTTTTTTTTTAAAGAGAGAGAGAAAGAATTTTTTTACTATTTATTTTTTAGTTTTCGGCAGACACAACATCTTTGTATGTGGTGCTGAGGATGGAACCCGGGCCCCACGCATGCCAGGCGAGCACGTTACCTCTTGAGCCACATCCCCAGCCCATGGGTGATTTTTTAAAAAATATATTTTTTATAGTTGTAAAAAGGGACAGTGTTTTGTTAATACTCATACAATAACAGCATGCCTTTATTTTGTTTACTTTTTAAATGCAGTGCCTCACATCTACGAGGCGAGTATTCAGCGACTGAGCCCTAACCGGAGCCCTGATTTTTTTTTTCTCTTGTTTTCTCCACTCCCCCCATGTTTTCCAAATTGTCTGTAGTAAACATGAGTTACTCTCTTAAACAAATTATTTTTTATATATTTATATTATTTTTGTCACGCTGGAATTTTGGAATCCTGAGCCTCACTCATGCCATCTAAGCACTCTACCACTGAGCTACATTTCCACCCAAACAAGTTACTCCATAAACATCACAAATTTGGGTATTCCTGTGGTCCCATACATGGTGGGACACCATGTAAAACTCTAGTATGTTTAGAAGCCACAGAGGTCACCCAATAGGCCTGGTGGCAATCTAGCAGCAACTTCAAGCTTGGAAAGGTTTAGTGCTTAGAGCGTTCGTTACCGCCTCTCATCAGTTACCCGCCTCTCATCGGTTTTGGGAAATCTGAACAAGTTACCCAAACTGGTCAAATGCTTAGGTTCTTCCTCGAACCAATCGGGATTCCTGAAAAGGCACAAGGAATTACTTTGACCACTCAGAACAGAACATCTTCCAGATGTTCAAAATCATCTTAGTCGTCTAGCAGAGATCTCTCAGGCTGGGGCTAAGCTAGAATCAACAGTAGGCGCTGTCCTTAGAAGCCTGGAGAGCCAGAGCGGGATGCACCCGCCAGTGGGCGGCAGCCAGGGAGCCAGTTCCAAATCCCCTGAGGGCACCCAGGGAGAGGGGACTGCAGGGCGGCTGCTCCTTACTTAGAGTCTTTGCCTTTGCCCTTGCCCTGCCCTTTCCGTTTGTCCTTTTTCTTCGGCGGCATCTTGGCTTCTCCAGGAACTCAGCCTCGTCGTTGCCTGTCCCGGCCTCCAGGGCCGGTTCGGTCTCCAAGGAAACCAGCACGCGGAGAGGGTAACGTCCACACGGCAGTTGCCGGCGCGCGGAGAGCGCACGCGCCGTGACGTGGCCGCGCCGCGGCCGCGCGAGGAGGCGGGGCGGAGATCGCGCCGAGGGCGGCGGGCGGCCGCGCCAGGGCGGCGCGCGCGGTGAGTGTGCTTGTGGCGGCGGCGGCGCCTGCTCTGGGTTCGGGCTGAGTCCTCTGCACGGCCAGCGGGGAGCGGGAGCCCGGCAGCGCTGGGCGGTGGCACGGAATCCTATGGGCTGGACGTCGTGGGCGTCGCGGCGGTTGGGGCGTCCTCGTTTCCAGAGGCTTGGTCCCGTCGGGTCTGTCCGCCCTGCCGCAGTGGCCCGAGTGGTGGCTGCGGTCTAGCAGTTTTCCTTCTCGCCAACCTTCTACGCCGCAGCCTGCGCGACCACGGCTGCTTTGCCCTCGACCTTGCTGCTCCTCAGCTACTCTTGCAATCTTTCTCCGTTTCCTGGCTTCTAACTTGCAGGTTCCTTAGGGGACGGCGCACTAGCGGAGTCCCAGGCCAAACGTTTCTGAGAGGCAATCGAGGACTTTTCCTAGGGCAATGGCGAGGCTGTCATCCTCCCAGGACAGAGCGTCCGGGTGTCGTGGAGTGGGGTCGCCAGGCGGATCCTGGGCTCCCTGGGTCCTGTGTGGCCCATGCCGCCCGCCCAGGACCGTTAGCCAATACCTCCTTCATTCGCAGTCTCTTTTTCTGCAAGTTGCATAAAGTTGAAAGCTATTGCTTTACCCCCATCCCCACCCCGCCCCCAAAGCTTGACTACACCTCGGAAAGTAGGTGTACTCGAAAGGATTCTCATTTGTCAAGGGAGGAGCTCTACAATTATACCTTCATTCAGTGAGAGTTAGTCAGTGAGTCATTAAGGAAGATGGGTATTTTGGCTTCCAGTTTCGTAGTTAAGGCTTGTGGTTGAAGCTTTGCTCTGCGGTATTCTCTATTTCAAATTACATTTCGGATTTCTTTAAAACGTCATTGTAGATCCTCCTCCATTTCCCCAGGAGAACTGAATCCTACACCCCTTCTTGAGGTCTTTAATAATCCCCCTCCCTTATTTTTTTCACTTAACATAGTTTTTATTTCTCAATTCTGTGATTAGAGGAAACTCGCTGATTTGGTAAGGAGCCCTGAAAACCTTAGACGTGGCGTCTGCTAGCATGAGTATGCCTTGTTCTCACCATTTCTGGTTTATTTTGACCTCTATTTCTCATGGGCCCATGAGTAAAATTACAATACATTGAAGGGTTACCTCTGATACGAAATCTATAAAGTCACGATTATTTTTGTGTCTCAAGTTCTATAAAAACAACCTATTGATAACTTGGAGAAGAAAGAGTAGGGCATCCTCTGTCATAGTCTATATATTTATAATTCATTCAAAAAATTATAGAAGCCCAATACTTGCTTGAAGGTAGGCCTACAGATTCATTTGTAAACATAAAATTTTTACTGTAACGAGTACTTTGTAATATGTGCATAATACTTAAAGTACTTTATTGTATCACACATGTTTTTATAGGCTTTGCTTTTGTAGATAAAACTGTTGTGACTTGACTATGGCCAAGAGAAATGTCAAGATGTTTTACTCTGATAGAAGTGGTTCTAGAATCAACAGTCTTCTGAATTTCCACATTCTCTACCAAAGAACTGAGTGTTATTATTCAGTTATTGTTTAGTGAGAAACAACTGATGGTACAGATAGTACATTAGGAAGCTTTCAATTTATCTGGTAGCATTTCCTTCTTCAATTTTATCTGGTGGCATTTATCTGGTAGCATTTCCTTCAATTGATGGTAGGCAGCTTTACTATGAAGTTTCAGGGACTATTTTACTGCATGTATTTGCTTTGTCTCACTGTTTTTCTAATGCTTTTAAACTTGGAATAAGCCACCTAGGGTTTCCTTGACATAGGTTTGTAATTCTTTTTCTGCCTGATTCTTGTAGTTCCTGGTCAACATAGAAATGTGGAGTATATTGACTGAGTCTTCATGCAGACAAGATCATTATGGTCCTGGTAGGTAGACCAGGTATCTGGACACAAGGTAATATCTCTGCTAGCTTACATCCATAAATGTATGTAAGATGTTCTTGGGTGATAGTTTTTTGTTTTGTTTTTGACTTGGATTCCCTATCTTTTGCCAAATTATATCAGTTTTCTTTTCCAGTGATAATATTACATCAAGTGTGAAGTTGCTCAACAAGCTATGTCTAGAATTAAGAACTGTAATATATCAAAATTATTATTCTGGTAGTTCCAAAACTGAGTTTACTCTATAAAGTCATCAGTGATTTTACTGTGATTTCCTTTGGAGACCAATTTCTCCTTGTAAATCATTTTTGAAATTACTTGATAACAGATGATACTCTGTAGGTGAAAAAGACTAGATAAACAGTTTTTAATTTTGTTTTCACATAGCCTCTAGAATCCTATATTACTATACAAACTATATCTGAAGGGGGCTCATCAGTCTTTCTGAATGTCATGGGATTTATTTTCATTCTACTTCTATTGCATATACTAAAAATATATAATTCTCTTAAATGGACATATCTTAGTATATTATGATAAGTTCATAGCCCTACAGAGGCATTATAAGGAATTCTTATAATAGGGTGGGGGATCAAGAATTTAATCTTATCAATTTTAGATCAATTATTAACATTCACTATTTATATGCAAATTGAAGTGGCACAGATAATTATTAACTCTTTGCATTTTATTTGCAAAATATGCAAATTATCCATCCGAACCTTGGCGTGCGATTTAAATCCATTTGTCTGGAATTCAAAGTCAGTTCTATAAGAAAAGTTACCCACATTTCAGACTCACTTGTATTTACTTGGATCCCTCAAGTTTCATTTATTTAAGAAGTGAATACTCGCTCCATAAGGCTGTTTGTTAGCTTGAGGGATAAAGGGAGGCAGGACAAGAGAGGGTCTTGTCTCTCAAATTGCTCACAATCATAAGACTCCAAATAAGACATTGATCTCTGAGAATACACAATCTCTTTTGGCACCTATACACACACACTTAACAATAAACAGTGATTAATAAAGGCGAGATGGCATAGACCTCATGTGCTACAGGAATTTAGAGGCATTTAAGACTGTTGTAGTCTAGGAAAGTTTACAGAGGGAGGTGGATTGAAAGGAAGAGGGAAGGCTATTTGGGAAGGTAGTAGAACAGTGGAAGTAAAATTCCTTGAGTGCTTGAGACAAGGAGTAGTTTAATTAGGGCAGTTTAGCGGTGGTTCCTGAAGCATGGTCCCCATATCAGTAGCATCAGCATCACCTGAGGGCTTGTTAGAAATGCATTTTTAGGGGCTCTATCTTAGGCAGTGAGGTCCAGCATTCTATGTATTTACAAGCCAGCCAAGGGGTGGGGTTGTAGCTCAGTGGTAGAGCACTTGCTGAGCATGTATGAGGCCCTGCGTTCAATCCCCTGCAATTTAATAATAATCAGCCTAATAAAGCCCTCCAGGAGGTTCTGATACATGCTAAAGTCTGAGAAATCACTGGAGCAGGGTGTTCCTGTATAGAAGGAATGGGCAAAATGAATTTGGAAAGGTAGGCTGGGAACTCATTCATGAAGGACTTAGAATGTCAGGAGGAGTTTGTCTTATCCTGCACACCAAAGTCATTAACTTGGGTCTTGAGGGCTGGATTTGGCCCATAATGTGGTTTTTCTATTTTATTTATTTTAGTTGTAAATGGACATAATTCATTTATTTATTTTTATGTGGTGCTGAGGATCGAACCCAGTACCTCACAATGCAAGGCAAGTGCTCTACCACTGAGCTACAGTACCAGGCCCCATAAAGTGTTTTGTTTGATCTACATGGTGGTTTTTTGGATTTTGGGTGGAATTAGTTGTTATCATATGAAAACCAGCAGATGTGCTTTGAATTAACTTGAAAAAAATGAGAAGACTTGACCATAGGGGGCCTACCTTCCATTATGGCAGCAATTGGTGTAATAGCAAGAAACTGCTCCTTTAGATGGGGACATGTGCTTTCCAGTTGCCACAGACTCTATCACTTCCTGTTGTTAAAACAACATACTTTTACTCCTTTTCGTTTCCTGCCTGGCCTCTGTAGATATTTGAGTTTGTAACTTCTGTTGTAGATAGTGGGAACTTGATGAAAGGTTTAAGGAAAGTGACGTCATTTATATATTGTTAATTCATTCAACAAACATTGGTTAATTAAACATATATGCCAGGTTGTACTGTGCTAAGTAATTAGTGTTCAAAACACCTGTCATATGGTGGTTTACCACTTAGTGGGAGAACAATGAAAACAGCATTTTAGGAACATGATGAGGTGTGCATTTGAGAACAGTAACATCTTGGTGACTGGTGTACCAGTTTAGGGACCATAACAGTTCAAGTCTGAAGTAATAAGGGCTAGGATTTAGGTATCAGCAGTGGGACTAAGAGGAAAAGATGGGAAAAAACTGAAAAGGAAGAATCATCAGTTCTTGATAAAAGGGTGGAATATAGAAAGCTTGAGAGGGCCGTTTAAAGATAATCAAAATGAGTTACATAATAGGAAAGTTGTGCCACTAAATAAACAGGAGATCAATAAGAGACTCCACTTAATCTCTCTGTGTATATGTGTAGAAGCAGAGGGTGAGGGGAGTGTTTAGAGGTACCAGTTTGAATTGTCTCTTGTTTTGAGTTATTATATCAGGGGAGATACACACAATTTAAGTGTTTTTAAGAGGAAAACTTAATAGAAATATCAAGATTACATGCTTAGAGTTAGATAGTGCTCATCTCATCCTAGAATCCAAGGAAACTCCTGGAGAAAAGTTTAATTTGTAGTCACAAAAGTGTAAGAACATGCTGGGCATGGTGGTGCACGCCTGTAATCCCAGTGGTTTGGGAGGCTGAGATAGGAGGATCACAAGTTCAAAGCCAGCCTCAGTAAAAAGTGAGGTGCTAAGCAACTCCATGAAACCCTGTCTCTAAAGTATAAAAAAAGGCTGGGGATGTAGCTCAGTGGTTAAGTTCCCCTGGGTTCAGTCCTCAGTACCAAAATAAATA